CTAGGAGGCAGAGGTTACCGTGAGCCGAATTTGTACCACTGCACTCCAGCCTGGTGACAGAGCAAGACTCCGTCTCAAAAAAAAAAAAAAAATTAATTAATAGCAGTTCTTTAGTAACAAATATCTAATGTTTAGATTTCCCCACTGTCTCCTTTTTGAATTTGTTAGAATTGGTATTAGAAGGCCAGCAGTCTCCTTCAGCTCAGTGCCAGGGTTCAGGAGGTCCTGGAAGTTTCCTTGCAAGTCGTCTAGTTGAGGAGTAGCCATTGAGAGAATCCCAGATTCTCAAGCATGATCTCTTAGAGCTTTGTTTTCTGCCCCAGCACCCATGATGTGGTTTAAAACAAAACTATGGATTATTGGGCAAAAGCCAGACTGACTGCTCTGCTTACCAAATACCAATGCCATAATAATGAGTCTGGATTTCTTTCCTTGAGAAATGCTGGGAGCCACAGACCAGTTTTTAGTTGGGAAGTTATGTCATCATACTGACACTATACAGACTACACTGACAACAGTGGAGGACACTTACAAGACAGTTGCAGTAATCGGGGAAGCAGTAATTAAGACATGATTCTAAGACAGCAGAGAGAGCATATGGAATACATTTAAGAGATCATTAGAAAGTATAATCTCAGCTGGGCACGGTAGTTCACCCCTGTAATCCCAGCACTTTGGGAGGCCGAGGCAGGCGGATCCCGAGGTCAGGAGTTTGAGACTAGCCTGGCCAATATGGTGAAACCCTGTCTCTACTAAAAATACAAAAAGTAACTGGGCGTGGTGGAGTGCACCCTACTCCTAGCTATTCTGGAGGCTGAGGCAGAAGAATCGCTTGAACCCAGGAGGCGGGGTTGCAGTGAGCCAAAATCGTGCCACTGCACTGCAGCCTGGGTGACAGAGCGAGACTCCATCTCAAAAAAAAAAAAAAAAAGAAAGAGAATCTCCAGGGCTTGGTGACTGAGTGGATGATGTGAAGAGCACATCATTCACAGAAATATAATGGGATGAAGTGCAGGTTTTCTTTGGGGCTGGAGGTAATAAAAGATAGGAGTTTATTGTTTGGCTGTGTTTGATTTGAGGTGCTTTTGGAACATCTAGTATATTTAATAGACACTTGGAAATAAGTATCTGTGTCAGCAAAGAGGTCTGGGCTGAAAATAGATTTGGGAGTCATCAGGGGAAGCAGTGAATATGATTGAGAGACGCAGGGCTATTATGTAGATAAAAGGACTAGGAATAGAGCTGCTTCCTTTAGAATAAATCTGTTATCTGCTCTGTGTTATACTTTGCTATCTGGGAATCTGTTCCTCAATGTTTGACTCACAGGTGTATTTTCATTTTTAGCGATTGTACTTTGTAACTGAAAATTTAAAATTTGTTTCTATTATTCAGCATGAGTATAAATTACTAATTATATTTTGAGATAAGAATGGGGTTTCTTGAAAGTACAAATCATATGTTTTAATATATCTTTTTAATGTATTTTATATATTTTATTTATAATAAAGTAAAATATAAATACATATTATTTACATGTTTTATATCTTAATATATTTCCGTAAATGTTAGATGTTTTCATTTTTCCAATAGCAACTATAACCCTATAACTTTTTGTCTCCATAAAGTTGTTAATTTATTATTTTATCTATATGTTTATTGACTCCATTTAGAATTCATAGTAACTTGCAGTTGGCCTACATTTTTTAGAAGCCCTGATAATAAATATTTTAGATACACTCAGATTGTCTTACAAGCCTTATTTTGGGCAGTATATTTGGATAATTGAATGGGTGTTATGGTTAACAGACACCTGTTATGGTTATAATTTGTATTCACTGTAAAGGCTGCTATAGTTAAAATATTGGCTTTAACCTCTGAATGTATTAGCCCTTTATATGTATTATAAAGGTCCATATATCAAAAACCTTTTATGATAATTGCCCATATCCTCTTGCCACTTTTCTTCTCTCATACTCTGACTCACATGCTGTCACCCTCAGAACCCTCCTAAGCCCTTCCAGTCTTCACCTTGTAACTCTGAGTCATTCACTACTTAGTCAGTGCTCCCTTACTACTCATTTGCTTCACTGGTGTAGCACTTACCATGTGCTTTTAAGATTAAGTGAATATGTGGGTGTGATCTATATTTCTGAATAAATCTAGAAAAGAGGCGGGAGCAGTGGCTCACACCTGTGATCCCAACACTTTGAGAGACTGAGATAGACAGATCACTTGAGCCCAGGAGTTTGAGACCAGCCTGGACAACATGGCAAAACCCCGTCTCTACCAAAAAATACCTCCCCCCGCTGCCGCCAAAAAAAAAAAAAAAAAAAAAAGCCAAGCATGATGGTGCACATCTGTGGACCCAGCTACTCAGGAGGCTGAGGCAGGCAGATTAATTGAACTCAGGAGGTCATGGCTGCAGTGAGCCATGATCAGACCACTGCACTCCAGCCTGGGCAACAAAGTGAGATTTAAAAAAAGAATCTGGGAAACTTTTTAAAAACAATATAAAATAGTGAAAATCAAGAGTTATGTTTCTTTTATATATAATTTGAAACTTTTTTGCAAACAAATGTTAGATTTTAAAATAATTTATACCCATCCAGTTCTACAATTGAATTGACTCTTCAACTGTTTAAAATCTGACAATTGGAAAATTATTATACATTAGGTCTTCTGACATCCTTAAAAAAGATTGATTTAGACTGAGTTCTGTATTGTAAAATTCTTGACATGAAAGTATGATGAGTATATAAACTACGTTATGGCTATTACTTTACATAAATCCTGAAATCACAGAAACAGTGCACAACAAACCTCATAAACTAAGAATGACATAAGAAAGTGAGTGTTCAGGGTACCGCCAGACTCTGCTCCATTGGCATGTAATTGATGAACCCTTTTCTGATTTCAGAACTTCTTTACAGTGATCTGCTATTCATGTTTTGGGATTCTGCCAGTGTGTTAACATATATTCTGCACAAATATCTTTATCCCAGTTTTCTGATATTCATAACTAAGGAAACAAGATGCAGATTGGTGCAGTGGATTTTATACTGTAGTCTACTGGTTTCCAAGGAAAGAAAAAGTAGGATATAAGGTAGAAATTATAAGATACAAAAATGAGAAAAATTTCATGCTTCCAATAAGTTCAGAAGCAATTTTTCCATCCCATTTCAGAGAGATAGCTTAACATATGCTTCTACCCTTTAGAAAGACTTTCTTTGGTGTTTCATTTTGTTTATTAAATAATCATTACCGATAAAATTTCTTTACAGGCAATCATAATGCCTTATGCATTTCTTTCTCCTTCCTCTGATCTCAGTTTGTGCTGTTCTTCTAAGTGTAAATAATTCCCGTGCTTATTAATTAATTGCACTATAGGATATTTTTAGACTGTACTTAGAAATTTCTTCTTTGGGAGCTAAACTCTTCTGGTACATAAGCTGTAGTGTGAGTATCATTTAGGACTATTTATAAAAACTAACATCTTGAAGTCATTTACCAAATAGTACCCTAGTGACTCAGCATTTAATGTCGGCATACTTACTTGCTTTGAGTACTTTTGTCTTGTATTTGGAATAAGGTTGTAAAGCAGTTGGAAAGGAAAGGTGATTTGACATATTTTAGGTAGTAGTCACAATGTCCAGTTATCTGCAGTTTTTTGCTTTGATAAATCAGAACTTTAGGTTAGCTGACTTATTTGTTCCCAGAAAGAGTTAAAATCAGCTTAAGATTTTTTATGCTGTAAAAAAAATCTAAAATCATATAATTTTCAAATAAGTTTTAAAATAGACAATATGATAAAGTGGCAAAGAACATGGACTCTGCCTCTGTTCAAATCTGTGAGACTCGGCACCGCAGAGCAGTGTTTTTATCTGTAAAATAGAGTAATAATTGTATTACCACCCAGAAGTTGATGTTAGGATTAAATGAGCTATACAAGAAAATTAACTAGTACAGTACCTTGCACATAGTAAGCACACCATATGTATTAGTAGCAGTGACAGAAGTTCTTATTATTCCTCTTCTATTCAATGTCAAGAGCAGTACCTTGCATACAGGAAGCACTTGGCTTTTTCCTTACTCAACTTGTCCATCTTCTCCTTGTTATTCCTCCCAATGAGGTTATAAGACAGATATAACTGGCTAAATCCTAGCGAGTTTTACCTCAATTTCTGTAACCTCCTTGTAATTTCCCCTCTACCTAATGAAAGTGCCTCAGAGTTTTGCAAAGGATATACAGATGTGTCCATAAGGGCTGAAGTCACAGGCAAAGCTTCTTAGACATTTTCAGTTTATAAAAGAATAAAATATTATCTGTGTTTTTAAACTTTACAGGTAACCTATAGAAATGGTTTTCCTGAAGTTAAGCCAAAAAGAAATGGAGCAAGTCAAAATGCCTCCCTTTTCAAAGTATTACCTCCACCCCAATGAAAATAAGTTGAGAAATATATATGAAATTTTTATGAAATAAATATTTATTAATTATATTTAAATTATCAATTACCTAAGCCAGGGCTCCATACATTATGAGGAGAAGTTCCTTTTCGTTTCTTTAAATGCTTGACATCACAGAGGGATGGCTTACACTGTACTCTCCAATAGTGACAAGACAGGACGATGAGGATGATGCCACTAATAGTGGTGGAGAAGGGCACTGGTGCTCACAATTTGTGTGGAAACTTTCAGATAAAACTGAGATCTCCCAATAGATCTTAATATGCAAGTTTAAGATCCCAAAAATAGGTATGTTATTCATCTTTTTTTAATTTCAGAAAGGAAATTGATTGCTCTACTACTTATATTTGGAATTAAATTTTAATCTTAGTTTAAATACTTGACTAGAACTTCAAATAAAATATTAACATCTTCAGGAACATATCAGTTAATTTTGTAAATCCTTGAGGCTATCATTTTTTTAATGTATAATCTCAAAATCCCCAATTACATGAATTTGTAATGCAGTTGATGACTGTCATGTCAAATGTTCTTAGCCCTCAGGCGAACCACAAATTGAGGATGACATGTTAAAAGAAGAAATGAATGGATTTTCATCCTTTGCAAGGTCACTAGTACCCTCTTCTGAGAGACTACACCTAAGCCTACATAAATCCGATAAAGTCATCACAAATGGTCCTGAGAAGAACTCCAGTTCCTCCCCATCCAGCGTGGATTATGCAGCCTCCGGGCCCCGGAAACCGGGCTCTGGAACCCTGTGTGGCAGAAGGCCCAGAAGCACATTCCCAAATTCCCACCGGTTTCAGTTAGTCATTTCGAAAGCACCCAGTGGGGATCTTTTGGATAAACATGCTGAACTCTTTTCTAACAAACAATTGCCATTCACTCCCCGCACTTTAAAAACAGAAGCAAAATCTTTCCTGTCACAGTATCGCTATTATACACCTGCCAAAAGAAAAAAGGATTTTGCAGATCAACGGATAGAAGCTGAAACCCAGACTGAATTAAGGTATGACACATCAACAACCAATAGTAAATCCTTCAGGAAATTAAATGAAAATTAATGAATTAATATTCCTTGTTTGCTGCTGCCAGACTTAAGATCTGATAGTGCCCTTTGGATTGGAATGAGATGAATGTGACTTTTCCTTTTCTGTGTATCACTAGAACTATCAGAGTAATTGCTGAAAAATAGCAAAAAAAAATTAAACTGGTCAAGTGCCTTATAAGTATGAATTACATATTTTATTGTTTCAAGCATAGTTCAAGAATTGTGTATGTTTTTAAATATCATACTTTCAGAGAATTCTTAAAATGTGTCATCAGACAGCATTTGTGTAAATATGCATATTGATTCATGTTAAAAGTGGCAAAAATATGGGCTATAGAGGGAAAGAAAGTAACCCTTTATCCATCTACCCCTCTGCTCCATTCCCTGCAGATATTCAGGCCAGTCTTCATAGCAACAACTGCCAAGAATAATTTTAAATTGGGATAATTTCTGGAAATTAAGTATAATTTGCCTCAATAATGTTTTCAAATACAATAGTGTGTGGCACAAGGTGAATGTTCAATAAAAGTTTGCGAAATGACTGAAGAAAAAAACAAATCTTGTCAAGTTTTGAGATTTAGCAGATTTGTATTGTGATTGTTTTTCTAGTATTACATAAACAATTTAACCGGCACTAGGTTTTAGTTGTTTTAGAAAGTGAAAACAATTTAAGATTAGTATTTTTTTTCTTTGGATATAGGTAAGAGGTACAGTAATATCAGATGAGTCTGCAGATATTTTATCAAATAAAATCAAATAATTCAAAATTATGTATTTTATAAGAACAGATGGATCTCATTCTTTTATGTTTGAGTTTATTTTTTCTAGCCAGTAAACCTTGTTACCACAGTGCTTATATTTTGAAGGATTAACAGTTATTTATTTTAAATTATTACAGCTTTAAATCTGAGTTGGGGACAGCTGAGACTAAAAATGTGACAGAATCAGAAATGAACATAAAGCAGGTAATAAGTATGAAATCTTTTAGTATTGCTGCATTTGAATTACAGATATTTTTCTGTAAATAGAATATGTACAGCTATTTAGACTGTGAAGAATAATCTGTTGGTGGCACTTACCATACATGATATAGCCAGTATACAGAAGGTCTGGCTGTTTACAAATGGTTATAGCTCTCTGAATGGCCAGGTGGATCCTGCCAAATCTGGGAAGTCATTTGTTACTAACATCTTTCCTAGATGATTGGTTGGCTGGCTGGACAGATGGAAGGATCAGTAAAATACCTTAAGTATTGTTTTCAAAGATGCAGACCTGGATTACTAGAGGAGCCAGCAGAGTAGTGCAGAAGTTGAGTTTTTATCCCCTTTTTTTTTTTTGTAAAGAATTGCCACATATTATATGATTGGAAAGTATACATTTTATAAGAATAAGTGGCTGTTATTATGTTTGCCTCTACTTTTTCTAGACCATAAAGCTGTTTATTACAGGGTTTATATTTTGAATTCTTAGCATCATTTCTTTTAAAATATTGCAACTTTGAGTCTGATTTTGAGATAAATTGTTTTATTTTTGGAGTGTCAGTCTTGCACTTGTGTCCTGACTTAAATTTGTTGTTTATAAAAATGGTTTGTCTATTAAAATGTCAAACACAGATCCAGAGATAGAAGAATAAAATATAATCATACTCAACTTCCTCCTTCCCTTCTGAAAATGGGTAGAAGGTGGTCGTTTTCCATCTCAGCCATTAATGCTGTTTGACACAGGGCCCTGCCACTTAAGGCCCAAGGACAAATCACTTATCCTCTGAGAGCTGCATTTCCTCATCTAGAAAAACTGTACTTAACTTGCAGGATTATTAGGAGGAGTAAATGATGTAGGCAAAGTACCTAGCCTGGGCTAGGGCTTAATAGACTAGCTTGAAATTTTGGGAATGAATTAACTCTGCAGATAACTACATAAACTTGAAACAGTATTTATTTACAATCCTGCAAGAAAATGTGTGTCCCCATATTCCACAGTCAGTGCCATCAGTACTTGACTTGAAGAAGCCAGTATTAACTGTAGTAGATCCACATTTTAACAGCACCTTTAAAACTGTAAAGCACTGTACATAAATTGTCACGGTGAAGATTAACTCTAACGATGTGAGTAAATGCTTGGCACAGTTTGTGGTGCATAGTAAGGAGTCTATAAAAGTAAGCTGCCATTATTTTTGTTAATATTATTGTTCATGCTGCCAGCGCTACCACTGCTTCTACATATTTGACATGTTGGCATGTAAAACAGATGAGCTATTTGAATTTCTGAATAATGAGACTTTGTTCCCTCAAATTTACTTAAAAGTTGAAAATTTGCTTCATTTTTCCCTTTATATGTTTATTTGTGACAATTTCTTAATGTTATTTAAATGCCACTCATTAAAATATAAGAAATAATTCATTTTATCTTTAAGAAAAACGTGCTGAATGGATAGAAAAATTATTCTAAAATATTCTTTGTCATATTGTATAATTTTTGTCTACTGGATATCTCTGTTCACTTAAAATTTGTTATATTTCTGCTTTCGTAATGTATTTTTAAGCAAAAATGAAGATTTTTTTTTATTGCATCCCCAGGCATCTAACTGTGTGACATATGATGCCAAAGAAAAAATAGCCCCTTTACCTTTACAAGGGCATGACTTAACATGGGATGAGATTAAGGATGATGCTCTTCAGCATTCCTCGCCAAGGTACACAGTTCACAGGAGAAATAATTTCAACTGTCTTTAATTGCCTTCTTGTATAACAGACATATAGTGTTTGCCGCATAAGTACTATTTAATTGCATGCTGTGGTCTATTTTGGTGTGATGTAATTCAATAACAGTTTTAGTTTTATCAAGGAAATTTTACAAATTTAAGTGCTTAGTAAAGGTTTAAATGAGTTAATTTTGCTAATTCATTAGTAAAGGAAAAAGTCACCCCAACTTGTATTATTTGTCATCACTATTCATTAAAAAAATAATTTTCCCCAAGACAAGTCCTCTGACAGTGATGCTAACCAGTTTACATGCCACAAATAATGCTGAAGAGCTTTACCATTTGAGGAGTCATAATTTGTGATTTTGAATATTCATCATATGCTAGTGCTTGACCTATCTGTGCTATATGAAGACACTATTTATTTATTTATTTATGAGACAGAGTCTCTCTCTGTTGTCCAGGATGGAGTGCAGTGGTGCGGTCTGAGCTCACTGCAATGGAGACACTCTTTAAAAATTACTCATCATGTTGAGTGATTAAGGAATATTATACATTAATTAGCAGGTAGTAGAAAACCTAAAAGATGCCTTGATAGTTTCAGTTGTCAAATGTATTTCCAGTGTCAGAGAATGGATATGAAATGCGGGGCGGGGAGCGGGGTAGAAGAAAGGAAGGAGTAGAGATTAAAAAGAGGGCAAGAATGAGGTGTTAATGTAGCAGATCACTAGGAAAGTACACACAATGCCCTCAGGCTCCAGCTTCTCCCTCAGGCCTTTGCTAGGGAGATCTCACCTGCTAAGGCCATGGAGAGTTCATTGTTAACTTCCCTGTCTTTGAAATTTCTGGTGTTTCAACACATATAACTTATTATTTATTAATATAAACTGCTCTTGAGCCAGTCTTCACTGAATATTAAGAATGACTTAAGGAAAGGCGTATTTATCTTTTCTAATACTTTCTAAAAGAAGTAAAGTAAAATAGTATAATTGAGTATACCTGAATAAAATTTAGCTTCAAATTAATTATTGGTTACATAACTGAGTAACAAAATTTATCATGATGACCAGCTTTAAAATACTTTCATAGTAATGTATCTATATCTAGCATTATCTATACATTAACCTTAGTCAAATTGTCATTGTTTATACTAGAGAAATGCCATAGTGTAGTTTTGAAAAGAATTGTGAATTTATAAGTAGAAGAGTAGTTTAAAAACCTGTCTTTGCTGCTTACTAACATTAACTTTGGAAAGTTATACTTAGCCTTTCTGACACTGGGTGAACTCATCAGTAAATAGTAAAAATAATACACAGCCAACATACCTGACTGGGTTTTTTAGAATATTAAATTAGATATGGATATGAGAGTGCTTTAAAAATTGCTGAAAAGTGTAATTACAGGTTGAACATCCCACATTTGAAAATCCGTAAGTCACAATACTCCAAAATCTGACGTGACACCCAAAGGAAATGCTCATTTGCGCATTTTGGATTTCAGAGTTTTGGATTGAGATGCTCAACTACTAAGTATATAATGGAAATATTCCAAAATCCAAAATCTGAAACACTTCGGTTCCAAGAGGGATATGCAGTCTGTGCTAATATACAATGTTACTGAATACTTCTTGTATGCCAACCATTGTTTTGCTCAACTACTTTAACTTCCTCTTTCTAGGGCAGTGTGTCAGTATTCCCTGAAGCCCCCTGCAACTAGTAAAATCTACTCTGAGTAAGATCTTTTTTACCTCTTCATTTTGCATAGTGGAATTAAGAATTAAGAATCATAGAAACCATTATTAAGTAAGTCAGGATTGAACAATAATCTCTTTTTTTAAAACTGGCAAGTAATAAATGTACATATTCGTGGAGTACCTAGTGATGTTTTGATACTTATACTGTACAGTGATTAAAACAGTTTAATTAGTGTATCCATCATCTCAAAGGTTTTATCATTTCTTTGTGTTGGAAACATTGAGTATCCTTCTTCTAGCTATTTGAAACTATGTATTATTGTTAACCATAGTAGTCATCCTGTAGTGGTATATAACACTAGAACTTACTCCGCCTATCTAGTTATAATTTTGTATCTTGTAACAAATCTCACCTTGTCCCTCACTCCCCTCTACCCTTCCCAGCCTCCAGTATCCTCTGTTCTACTCTCTACTTCTATGAAATCAACTGTTTTTAGCTTCCACATATGAGTGAGAACTTGCGGTGTTTAACTTTCTATTGCTGGCTTATTTCACCAGCATCCATCCGTGTTCCATCCATGTTGCCACAAATAACATGATTTTATTTGTTTTTATGGCTGAATAGTATTTCATGGTGTGTATATACATTTTCTTTATCCATTCATCTGTGAACGCTAATCTGTCTCACAACCAGCTTTGGGATATCAACCATATAATACATGCTAAATTCGAGAAAATGACCTGAATAATTTTCTCAAATTTATTTGAGAAATAATAACAACTTTCTGGAGCAATTGTCAATCATGTCGTTTTTATCTCCAGTAGAAGTTTGTCCCTAAGCTAATACCTGATACTTTTTAATAATTAGTATCCATAATTCTTATTTATAAGTAAAAATAATAAAATAATAAAGAAGAGTTTTAGAGAAATACAGACTTTTAGTAGTTCAGGATACTCTTTCCAGAGGTTTCTAATCTCAGCAGTTCTTTGCAGATATTTTATTCGTAGATTTTAATGTTGTTTTAATTAAGTTACTTTTTTTAGGGAAAATAATTTATAAAATTTTACTTATTTTCAAATATGCTGTTTTTAAACAAGCAAGACCCTGTGAATCAGTTTGAAAGTGTAACTTTTTATTAAACATTTAGATCTATTATTTGATTTGCTTATTAACTCTTCCCTTATATTTGCTTATTCAGAAATTTAGTTACTTGCTACTTACATTTGGTACTAATTCACTAATTTCAGCTAATTAAAATCAAACATACAATAATATCCTAACTTTCTTATAATAGCTACTAAAATGTAGTTATAGGGAGGTGTGTTCAAGTAGTTAAAAATTACCACAATATTTATGATCACAAATTTTCCTTTGAGATTTTGTCTCCAAACGTTTTGAGAGAAAAAATAAATTTTTCTGCTTAGTGAATTTCTCAACCTTAAGATGAGAAGATGCTGGCCTGGGGCTAGGAGAGGACTTCTTAGTTGAAGCTCCTGCTTCTCTGGACAACTTTCCTTTTCCTTCTTGCAAATGCTTTGCGGAGGGGCTTGCACCTCTGCTGCTGGACCTGGTCAGGAGCCAGAGAAAATTTAAAACATTCCTGAGAGTGCTTGTTCCCAGTGGATTGCATTTGATTGCCCCTTGTCGTTGGTCTCTTTTTGTGTTGTTTAATTCTGCTTATTTTTTACTGCTATGGATGTTGCAGATATCTTTGAAATTTTACTCTATTAGGTCATTATCTTTAATAAATATTTATCCTTGCGTAATTTGAGAAGGTAGACATGTTTGTTTGTAATATTCCCCTTAGTAATATGAGATAGAAGTACATTGGTAATGGTAGAGATAGATATTTCTAATTAGGTACTAATGTTTCTTATAGTTTTCAGAATAAGTAAGCAATAATTTTTATGCTGTATATTGCCTTCCCTTTACAGCGAAGAAGAACTGCTGTATCTGAGTTTCATTGAAGATGTAACAGATGAAATTTTGAAACTTGGTTTATTTTCAAACAGGTTAGTTTTTTTAAATTGTGTTATGGCAATTCAGTAGTACGTTAAATATTCTTCATATTTCTTCATATGATGTTAAAATTTTAAAGTTATTTTCCCATATTAGGAAATGAAAAAATATATTGCTTTCTTGGAAACTTATTATTGTAATTGATAGCAAGTTGTAAAGAATGTTTAATTCATACTCTAGGGGAAGTTCATCACTTGGGAGAATTAAAGAATAGAGCTTTTATTCACTTTAATATTATATCCTTTGTATTATAAGTGACTCGTGAAGGAAGATCTTTACCACTTATTTGCAAAGCTCCATAATCCCATTTTACTATTTAAAACTGTCATGAGAATCAAAGGCAAGCATTTTTGGTACAACCATTATTAGTATTAGATCTAGTAAAATGAGAACAAATTAAGAGCTAGGTTTGTGCGCCGCAAGTTAAATGAAAAGTTTACAAAACCAGATTAGCTATTGCATAGCTTAAGGAAACTGTGTGTCCTGAATTTAGCTTGAACATTTATGTATCTAAGATTCTTTGAGCACTGGGCTCTACTTTATGTTATGTAACCTAGGACCCTGTTATGTATACTACTTGCTTTCTCTGTCGTAATAATATGCCAAACATAGACATTTCTAATAAATTATTTCTATCCTTTACATCAAGTTTTTTAAAAAATTAAAGCAAACATTTTCATTATTGGCATAAAAAGGCATATCAAAAAGACATAAGATTTTTGACATTAATTCTTTTAACTGCTTTCGTTTTAAAAAGTTGGTAAATAATATTCACATAGTATGGGTAAAGAGTTTCAGGATACATAATGAAAAGTTTTAGCAATCTGTATCACAGTATGAATATACTTGACACTACTCAGTCGTGCACTTAATGGTGAAGATGATAAGTTTTGTTGGTTTTTGCCACCACAAGAAAAAAAATACACATACAAAATTGTATTTATGCTTAAAATTTTGTTTTTATCAAGTGTAAGACTATTTATTACAGCATTTTTATAATAGTACCAAAAACCAGAATCAACCTAAATGTTTAATGGTAAATGTTTGGTTGAATAAACTGTGGGATATATATGAAATGTAAGGTCTGTTTAGGGATTAAAAATGATGTTGAAGTGAATTTACAGATACAGAAAGATGTTAAAGATATGTGTCGTTGATTAGAAAAAACAAAATAGGGCTGGGCACAGTGGCTGACGCCTGTAATCCCAGCACTTTGGGAGTCCGAGGCGGGTGGATCATGAGGTCAGGAGATCGAGGCTATCCTGGCTAACACGGTGAAACCCCATCTCTATTAAAAACACACAAAAATTTAGCCAGGCCTGGTGGCAGGTGCCAGTAGTCCTAGCTATAGGCTGAGGTAGGAGAATGGCGTGAACCCGAGAGGTGGAGCTTGCGGTGAGCCAAGATCGCGCCTCGACATTATAGCCTGGGCGACAGAGCGAGACTCTGTCTCAGAAAAAATAAAGAAAAAGAAAAAAGAAAAAAACAAGGTAGATACCCAAATAGTATGTATCGTTTAATTACAATTTGGTAAAGAAATAAAAATGAATAGAAAAAATGCCTAGTAGTGAATTTTCTAAAATGTTAACAATAGTTGTAAAAAGTAGAATACAGATTTCTTGGGTTTTAAAAAAATTGTGAAATAATTCAGAACTACTAACTCTGAGGTTGGCTCATAACTTCACTGATGCTAGCAAATGATAACAAAGGAAATTAGTTGTTTTTTAAGAAACTGTTGGACATTCCTGTGATAGGTGAGCATGGTGTTTTAGAATGAAGAAATTATGTGGAGCCAGACACATGTGGGTTAAATTCCCCTAATGGCTTTTGACCTCAGGGGAGAGGAAATTATCATCTTAGAGATGTGGCTTTCTCATCTTTAAAATGATTTTTACACTATCTTTCCCTCCCTACGTTGGTCAGAGTTAGAGGTAAAATGATTATTATGGCTAGCACAGTAGCACTTAATGGAACTTAATAAGTGATAACATTTAAGTTATTATGTGGATTTACCATCAGTGGGAATTTTTAAATTTTTTCATTATTTTTTAAAATTTTGTGACGTACACAGTAGGTGTATATAAGGGTCCATGAGATGTTTTGATATAGGCAAGCATTGTGAAATAAGGACGTCACGGAAAATGGGGTATCCATCCTCTCAAGCATTTATCTTTTGAGTTACAAACAATCTGACTACATTCTTTAAGTTATTTTAAATGTACAATTAAGTTATTATTGACTGTAGTTACCCTGTGGTGCTATCAAATGGTCTTATTGATTCTTTCTATGTTTTTGTACCCATTAACTACCCCTCTTCCCCTGCAGCCCTCCACTACCCTTCCCAGCCTCTGTTAACCATCCTTCTACTCTCTATGTCTGAGTTCAATTGTTTTGATTTTCAGATCCCACAAATAAGTGGAGCATGCAATGTTTATCTTTCTGTGCCAGGCTTATTTCACTTAACATAATGATCTCCATTTCCATCCATATTGTTGCAGATGACAGGATCCTACTTTTTTTTATGACTGAATAGTACTCCGTGGTGTATATGTCCTACATTTTTTTATCCATTCATTTGTTAATGGACACTTAGGCTGCTTCCAAATCTTAGCTATTATGAACAGTGCTACAACAAACATAAAAGTGCAGATATCTCTTTGATATCCACTTCCTTCCTTTTGGGATTGCTGGAGCATATGGTAGCTCAATTTCTAGTTTTTTGAGGAACCTCCAAACTGTTCTCCATAGGAGTTGAACTAATAGTTTACATTCTGCTAATAGTGTGCAAGGATTCCCTTTTCTCCACATTGTCACCAGCATTTATTATTGCTTGCTTTTGCATATAAGCCATTTTAACTGGAGTGAGATGATATCTCATTGTAGTTTTGATTTGCATTTCTCTGATGATCAATGATGTGGAACACCTTTTTATATTCCTGTTTACAATTCATATGTCTTTTGAGAATTGTCTATTCAAATCTTTTGCCCATTTTTTGATTGGATTATTAGATTTTTCGCTATAAACCTAATAGTAAATAGTTGTTTGAGCTCCTTATATATTCTGGTTATTAATTCCTTGTCAGAGGGGTAGCAAATATTTTCTCCCATTCTGTGGATTGTTTCTTCACCTTGTTGGTTATATCCTTTGCTGTGCAGAAGCTTTTTAACTATGATCCCATTTGTCCATGCTTGCTTTTTTGCCTGTGCTTGTGGGATATTACTCAAGAAGTCTTTGCCAGACTAGTCCCTAGAGATTTTCTCCCAATGTTTTCATTTAGTAGTTCCATAGTTTCAGAACTTATATTTTGGCCTTTAATCTATTTTGATTTGATTTTTGTATGTGGTGAGAGATAGGGGTCTAGTTTCATTCTTTAGTATATGGGTATCCAGTTTTCCCATCACCATTTATTGAAGAGACTGCCTTTTCCCCAGTGTATGTTCTTGGCAACTTTGTCAAAAATGAGTTCACTGTGGGTGTGTGGATTTGTTTCTGAGTTCTCTATTCTATTCCATTGGTCTGTGTGTCTGTTTTTATGCCTGACCATGCTGTTTTGGTTACCATAGCCCTGTAGTATAATTTGAAGTCAGGTAATATGATCCTACCAGTTTTGTTCTTTTTACTTAGGATAGCTTTGGCTATTCTGGGTCTTTTGTGGTTTCATATACATTTTAGGATTTTTTTTTCTATTTCTGTGAATAATGTCACTGGTATTTTGATAGGGATTGCATTGACTCTGTAGATTGCTTTGGATGGTGTGGATGTTTTAACAATATTGATTCTTCCAATCCATGAATTTGGAATATTTTTCCTTTTTTTTTTTTTTTTTTGGTGTCCTTTTCCATTTTGTTCATTGGTGTTTTATACTTTAATATAGGATTTTTTAAAAAGTATAATTTAGGAAGGATTATAAAATATCTTTGTAAAAGGCTTTTCTTTAGGGTTTGGGGGTGTGTGTGTGTGTGTGTGTGTGTGTGTAAAGATGGGGGTAGAGAGGCTTTGGGTGTTTGCATATGTCTGTGAGAAAAACAGCTTTTTGGAGGTGGGGTGAGAAAAAGGAGAATTTTATTCAAAGAAATAAAAGTAGCATACAGTCTTTCAGAAACATGTAACGTGAAGCAAATGCACAACGGAAGAACATAGAACAGGCAAGCATTAGTCTTCAGCTTTACAGAGAAAAAGAATAATCTAAAACACATTTTTCAACCTTTATAGTTTCAGTGTTACATGGCTAGTTTATATTTAGATGATTTTCTGATTTTGAGACATTAACATTTTTGTTTATCATTTGTAGGTTTTTAGAACGACTGTTCGAGCGACATATAAAACAAAATAAACATTTGGAGGAGGTTTGTCTTTCCTTATAACTTCATTAGAAAAATTCTAATGTAAAAATAATTTTACAGTTTTTTCATACCTTCAAACAATACATTAAAAGCAAGTGCTTTTTTTTCCCTTGAACTTTTTTGAGGGTGGTGGTGGAAGAAGTGAAAGGAAAAGTATTAATCCTGTGAGATTTGCAGCACTGCAGTCAAAATTTAATTTGACTCAATTAATGTAATTGTTCTCATCTTTTCTTAATCCTAGGAAAAAATGCGCCACCTGCTGCATGTCCTGAAGGTAGACTTAGGCTGCACATCGGAGGAAAACTCGGTAAAGCAAAATGATATTGATATGTTGAATTTATTTGATTTTAAAAAGGCTGGGAATTCAGAACCAAATGAATTAAAACATGAAAGTGAAGTAACTATTCAGCAGGAACGTCAAGAATACCAAAAGGCTTTGAATATGTTATCGTCTGCACCAAAAGATGAGAACGAGATATTCTCTTCACCAACTGAATTTTTCATGCCTCTTTATAAATCAAAGCATTCAGAAGGGGTTATAATTCAACAGGTGAATGATGAAACGAATCTTGAACCTTCAACTTTGGATGAAAATAATCCAAGTATTTCAGACAGTTTAACAGATCAGGAAACTTCTGTGAATGTCATTGAAGGTGACAGTGACCCTGAAAAGGTTGAGATTTCAAATGAATCATGCAGTCTTAACACATCACTCTCCCAGTCTGTTCAGTTCTCCAGTGTCAAAGGTGATAATAATCATGACATGGAATTATCAACTCTTAAAATCATGGAAATGAGCATTGAGGACTGCCCTTTGGATGTTTAATCTTCATTAATAAATACCTCAAATGGCCAGTAACTCAATATTACTTTTCTTCCTTTTTTAAAGTGTGTGTATAAGATTTCTGTGTTAGTTTTCTGTGCTGCAATAATAAGTTACCAGAAACCTAGTGGCCTAACATGCCACACGTTTATTTATCCCACAGTTTCTGCGGATCAGGAGTGTAGGCACAGCTTAGTTGGGTCCTCTGCCCTGGGTCTCACAAGGCTACCCCACAATCAAGGCAGTGACTAGGGCTGTGTTCTCATTTAGAGGCTTGTTGGCAGAATTACCTTCCTTGCAGCTGTAGATTTGAGGGCTTCGTTGTCTTGCTGACCAATGGCTAGAGGCTGCCTGTAGTTCTCTGCCACTTGGCGCTTTCCTTAGGGAACCTATAACATGGCTACTTGCTTTTTTAAGGATATCAGGAAAACCAGAGAGATTCTGCTAACAAGATGGAGTCTTATATAATGTAACATAATCACAGGAGTGACTTTCTATCACCTTTGCCATGTTCTTTTGGGTAGAAGCAAGTCACAGGTCTTGCCCACACTTAAGGGTTGGGAATATATACAAGGGTGTGAATGCCAGAACACAGCAATCACTGGGGTCATCTGAGGACCTGCTGGCCACAATTTCTAAAATCACTTTTCAGAGGAAACATATTTTACCCATGTTCTCAGAGGAACATTTTTACCCAGACATAAGCGGTTTTGTTGGCTATGGGAAATGGTTTGTGATCTGGTCTGGGTCTTGAAGCATTGGACCTTGTGTGCAGTATCTTTAATTTCATTTTTCTCACTTTCCTGCAATAGCTACAGCCTCGAGGACCTTTCAGTTGTCAGTGACCCAGGGAATTCTGTCAGCTAGCTGAGATGTTGTCTCTTCTTGTGAGTGCAAACATTTAGTCAGACCTGTCTGAAGCCCTCCCCTCCCCTGTAGCTCATGAATGAGACCCTTACTATTAGAACATGGCCCAGAAGATTCATCTCTAATTATACCTTTTCAACTATTTACAATAATATAATTGAATATTCATGTGCCCGTTATGTACAAAGTTTCATGCCTAGATACTGTGGAGGATAAAAACAACCCGTTTTGTTTTTATAAGCTATATTTTAATTTTATGTTTAAAAAAATGCAACCCAAGTATTCTTCTAAAAACTTAGCAGTGACTTCCAAGTATCCTGTTCTTTAACTCAGGCTTTTATCATCCTTTGGCCGTAGCAGTGTTTCCCAAAGTGTGGTACATACTCCTGGAGAGCTGAGAGTTGATTTTTAGTGGTATGTGGATGACATGTCCATCTCATTCATGGGATGCTGACCATCACCACTGTCTTCAGGATTCAGATGCCGGTACAACCTGCAAAGCACAATATGGTGGGACTGAGCACCCAACCCACTTCTCACCCCCACTGTCAGAATCCCCAGCTCACCCTGCTGCAACCCTTCCTTGGCACACCTGCCCCTCAGCCCTCACCTCTGGACTTCTTCCCTTTAACCCTCTAAGCAACACCATCCCTCCCCTCTTGCAGTCCTCCTAAACCTCCTGAAATAACCTCAGCTCTATTCTTGGTTCCCAGCCTGGGTCTCCCAATCTGTTTGATCTTTACCCCTGTATTTGCTGCTTGGGCTATATTGTTCCTCAGCCCCAGGGTTCCTTTCTTCAGTCCCAAACTCACTCTTTCACAAACACCCTCTTCCCAGTCCCCATGAAACTACCCCAGACCTACTGGCCTGGCCCAAATTTTCCTTTCTTGGTTGTAGCTACCATTTGTCTTTCTGGAGGCATTCTCAGAAATTTTCTCCTGGCCGTTGTTCTCCAACATTTTGATCTGGGCCCCAGACCTGCCCTATTTGGCATGTCCAGTCTTCTTCATGCTCTGACTCTGGGTACAGCTTCTTGTCTCTGGGGCCATGACCCATCCTAACTTGGATACCTATTAGGACAATTTGTTGTTATCCTTTAGTTTCCCTTTAAGTTTTAAAAGGTGAGTTAATTTAAATAATAACAATGATTCTGAAAAAAGCAAACAACCCCATCAAAAAGTGGGCAAAGGATATGAACAAACACTTCTCAAAACACATTCATACAGCCAACAGACACATGAAAAAATGCTCATCATCACTCGCCATCAGAGTAATGCAAATCAAAACCACAATGAGATACCATCTCACACCAGTTACAATGGCAATCATTAAAAAATCAGGAAACAGGTGCTGGAGAGGATGTGGAGAAATAGAAACACTTTTACACTGTTGGTGGGACTGTAAACTAGTTCAGCCATTGTGGAAGACAGTGTGGCAATTCCTCAAGGATCTAGAACTAGAAATACCATTTGACCCAGCCATCCCATTACTGAGTATATACCCAAAGGATTATAAATCATGCTGCTATAAAGATACATGCACACGTATGTTTATTGTGGCATTATTCACAATAGCAAAGACTTGGAATCAACCCAAATGTCCATCAGTGACAGACTGGATTAAGAAAATGTGGCACATATACACCATGGAATACTATGCAGCCATAAAAAAGGATGAGTTTGTGTCCTTTGTAGGGACATGGATGCAGCTGGAAACCATCATTCTTAGCAAACTATCGCAAGAACAGAAAACCAAACACCACATGTTCTCACTCATAGGTGGGAATTGAACAATGAGAACACTTGGACACAGGAAGGGGAACATCACACACTGGGGCCTATTGTTGGGAGGGGACTGGGGGGAGGGATAGCATTAGGAGATATACCTAGTGTAAATGACGAGTTAATGGGTACAGCACACCAACATGGCACATGTATACATATGTAACAAACCTGCACGTTGTGCACATGTACCCTAGAACTTAAAGTATAATAATAAAAAAAAAATGATTCTTGAATGTGGCAAAAGTATTATAGTATGAAGGTAGGATGTGAGTGGTAAGTTTGGGAAACAGCACTTAAACTTTCTAGCAGCATCTTTTTTTTTTTTTTTTATCCCTAAGACATCTTGTTAACATCAAGCAACATCTTTATATCTTCCCCTTTTCCTTCTCACACAGCCCATCAACTGAAGCTGAGAGGCACGATGAATGGTAGTGTGCCTTCTCTGCCAGGTTGCCTGGGTTTGATTGCTTTTAAGCTGGGTTTGATTCCTTTTAAGCTGGATTTGATTCCTTTTAAGCTGACTTTGAGCTGGGTTACTGAGCTTGTGTGTATTTTCTCGATCGGATGGGGGTAATTATAGAACCTTTATCATAGAGTGCAAGAATTAAATGAGCTTGCATGAGAATTAAATACAGGCTGCTTTTTTTTTTTTCTTACTATTTATTTTTTATTTCAGTAGGATTTTGGGAACAGGTGATGTTTGGTTACATGAATTAAGTTCTTCAGAGGTGACTTCTGAGATTTTGGTGCACCCAGCACCTAAGCAGTGTGTACACTGTACCCAATGTGTAGTCTTTTATCCTTCACTCCCCTCCTACCCTTTACCCCCAGCCCCCAAAGTCCATTGTATTACTCTTATGCCTTTGCATCCTCATAGCTTATCTCCCACTTATGAGTGAGAACATACAATATTTGGTTTTCCATTCCTGAGTTACTTCACTTACAATAATGGTCTCCAATTCCATCTAGGTTGCTGCAAATGCCATTATTTCATTCCTTTTTATGGCTGAGTAGTATTCAATTGTGTGTATGTGTGTATATATATACACATCACATTTTATTTATCCATTCGTTGATCAATGGGCATTTGGGCTGGTTCCATATTTTTGCAGTTGTGAATTGTACTGCTATAAACATGCATGTACAAGTTACATTTTTTGTATAATGACTTCTTTTCCTCTGGGTAGATACCCAGGAGTGGGATTGCTGGATCAAATGGTAGATCTACATTTAGTTCTTTTTTTTTTTTTTTTACCTTGTTTTATCATGTTTTATTTTATTGTACTTTGCAGATACTGCAGTTTTACAAATTGAAGGTTTGTGGCAACCCTGCATCCTTGGAGCAAATCTGTCAGCACCATTTTTCCAACCGTACATGCTCACTTTGTGTCTCTGTATCACATTTTGGTAATGCTTGCAATATTTCAAACTTTTTATTATTTTTTTTATTTTTTATTATACTTAAGTTCTAGGGTACATGTGCACAACGTGCAGGTTTGTTACATATGTATACATGTGCCATGTTGGTGTGCTGTACCCATTAACTCGTCATTTAC